AGCACCTGATGCAGCAGCAGCAGCAGCTGCTGCTGCTGCCTGCTGCTGCTTCCAGGTCACCCCGAATGCGTAAAGCAGGAAGCTCAGGGGCCCCCTGCTGCTCCTCTGGGGGGCCCCCGAGCCGCAGGCGCTGGGGGGAGGGGGGCCCCAGGGGCCCCTCTTCTTCCTTTTCTTCTTTGAGTTTAGGCTGCTCTGCTGCTGCTGCTGCTGCTGCTGCTGCTGCTGCTGCTGCTGCAGTGGGAGGGGTTTCCTGCAGGCCCCAAAGGGGGGCCTCCGGGGGCCCCTCTTTCAGCTCCAGCAGCAGCCGCAGAGTGGAAGATCTCAGGGGCCCTTTGGGGCCCCCTGCTGCTGCTGCTGTTGCTGCTGTTGCTGTTGCTGCTGTTGCTGCTGCTGCTGCTGCTGGGTCATCGGGCAGCAGCAGGGGACCTACTTCCTGCAGCAGCCTCTGGGTAGTTGCTGTTGCCAACGCCTGCAGCAGCAGCAGCAACAAAAGCCGCAGCAGCAGCAAATACACAGAAGTGCATGCAGCAGCAGCAGCAGCAGCAGCGAGAGAAACAGCATTTGCAAATGTACGAAAGTGCATGCAGCAGCAGCAGCAACAGCAGCAGCAGCAGCAAGAGCAGCAGCAGCAACAAATGTACAAAAGTGCTTGCAGAGGGGCCCCACAGGGCCCCCTCACTCTAAGGCACTGCCACTCAGGGGGCCCCTCAAGGGGGCCCCCATTCTAATAACAAATGGGGGCCCCCTTCAGGGGGCCCCCTAATAAAATGGGGGGCCCCCATTTTAATAACAAATGGGGGCCCCCTTGGGGGGCCCCCCGTGGAATGGGGGGCCCCCATTTAAAGCTTTGGGGGCCCACCTTTTCAAGAAAGGCAAAAAGGGCCTCCTCTTCTGCTTCTGCTGCTGTCTTTGGTGCTGCTGCTTCTGCTGCTTCCTCGGGGCTCCACAGGCCGCCTTGCTGCTGCTGCTGCTGCTGCTGCTGCTGCTGCCCGTCAAGGGGGGCCCCCAGGGGCCCCCCGGGGTGGTGCCCCATAGAGGGGCCCCCGAGGTCCCTAAGAGGAGGCTCCCCCGCACTGTAGGCTGCTGCTGCTGCTGCTGCTGCTGCTGCTGCTGCAGGGTCCCCTGCTGCAGCATGCATGCCGGTCTCGGCTTGCTGCTGGTGCATGAGGGGCCCCATGGGGGGCCCCCCCAGGTGTGGCCCCACGGGGGGCCCCCCCGGGTGGGCCCCCGGGGGGCCCCCCGGGGGGCCCCCCGGGGGGCCCCCCAGCCACTCTGGGGGCAGCCCCTGCATGCCAAATGCCTCAGGGGGAGGCGGCGGGGGCATTCCGGGGCCCCCCTGGAGGTGCATGTGTTGTGGGAGAAACATGGGGGGCCCCCCCCTGGGTGGGGGGCCCCCCATGTGGTGGGGGCCCCCCATCTGGGGCCCCATCAGCCGCCCCTGACCCTCGGGGGGCCCCCCCCCGGGGCCCTCAGGGCCCAGCCCGGGGCTGTGGGGGCCCCCAGACCCTCGTAGAAACGGGGGCGGCGGTGGCTGCAGGTTATGCCCGGGGGGCCCCCCGTGGGGGCCCCCATGGGGGCCCCCAGGGGGGCCCCCCGGGGGGCCCCCGTGGGGGGCCCCCACAGAGTCCACAAAGGGGGGCCCCCCGGGCCCGGGGGGCCCCTCTAGTGGGGGTGGCAAGCCGTTGGGGCCCCCAGGGAATGGCCCCAAGGGAGGGGGCCCCATGGGGCCCACAGCCCCAGGGGCCCGCGGGGGCCCATGGGGGCCCCCATGGGGGCCCCCGTGGGGGCCCCCGTGGGGGCCCCCCATGGGGATGAAGGGAGGAAGCCCAGGGGCCCCCATGGGGCCAAATGGGGGCCTCAAACCCATGGGGCCCCCAAAGGGCATCCAGGAGCCCCTGCCCCGGCCTGTGCACACACCCCAAACCCTAAACCCTAAACCCTAAACCCTAAACCCTAAACCCTAAACCCTTGGTCGAGAGCTAACCAGACCGCTACGCGGCGCACCTTGGTGGGGCCTTCCTGGGGGGCCCCCCATGGGGGTCATGGGGCCCCCTTGCTCTCGGGGGCCCCAGGGGCCCTCAGGCCCGGGGGGCCCCTGGGGGCCCCCCCCAAGGGCCTCAGCAGCAAGTGCTGCTTGAGGGGGCAGGGGGCCCCTAGACCTCATTCCTAGGGTTTGCTGCTGCATATAGCTGCTTCCATAGGAGCCCTGGGGGCCCCCGGGGCCCTGGGGGCCCCCGGGGGGGCCCCCGGGGGGCCCCCCGGGGGGCCCCCCGGGACCCCCAAAGCCAGGGGACCCAGGGGGCCCCAGGGGGCCCCCACCTGCCTGTGGGGGGCCCCCCGGGCTGGAGGGGGCCCCTCCTCCCCTTCCTGAGATTTCGTCCTGAAAAAGGAACCATAAACTAAACCCTAAACCCTAAACCCTAAACCCTAAACCCTAAACCCTCATACCAAGGCCAGTGGCCTGCACCGAGCTGCGAAACTTGTTCCACGCCAAAAAGCCACCTAAACCCTAAACCCTAAACCCTAAACCCTAAACCCTTGCAGCACCTACTCGCCGGCGACGGCCGCTGCCAGGGCCCTCTGAGGGGCCCCCCTGAGGGCCCGTTTGATAACCTGTACATATGAAGCGCACAAACCCTAAACCCTAGCTAAACCCTAAACCCTAGCTAAGCCCTAAACCCTAGCAAAACCCTAGCTAAACCCTAATTTTCGCAAAACCCTAAACCCTAGCTAAACCCTGAACCTATTCGTGCTCAGCCAAAGGGCCGCAAGCACCTCAACGCAGGCCCTAAACCCTAGCAAAACCCTAAATCCTCGACAAACCCTAAACCCTCGCCAAACCCTAGACCCTAGCTAAACCCTAAACCCTAGCTAAACCCTAAACCCTACGTAAACCCTAAACCCTCGCCTACCTGATGCGTCCACCGAGATGCTAGTGGTCCCTCCTTCCTCTGTTTCTTCAAGCCCCTGCTGCACACAAACCCTAAACCCTAAACCCTAAACCCTAAACCCCAAAGCACCATAAGCTGCAGCCAACACTACTGATGCTCAAACCTCCCACTTCTAGTCAAGGGTTTAGGGTTTAGGGTTTAGGGTTTAGGGTTTACCCATGCTGCAGAAGGGTGCTGCAGCGCCTCTTCGCCCTCAGGCTGCATGCCTCTCCAAGAATGAGGAGCCTGTAAACCCCAAACCCTAAACCCTAAACCCTAAACCCTAAACCCTAAACCCTAAACCCTGAGCCCTAAGAGTCTAAGCCCTGAGCCCTCGAGGTCACACGACATCCGCGATCTGCCTGTGGAGTGAAGCAAGCCACAAGGGTTTAGGGTTTAGGGTTTAGGGTTTAGGGTTTAGCTTGCCTGCGCATCAGACCCCCTATGTCTGTGTCTCTCGGGGGGCCCCCTAGACTGGGGGCCCCCCATGGCATCTCCTGAGGGTTTGGGGGGCCCCCCAACTCTGTGCTGCTTCTGCCGCTTACCCTCTGGGGGCCCCTGGGGCCCCGGGGGCCCCTGGGGCCCCGGGGCCCCCGGGGGCCCCTGGGGCATGGGGGCCCCCGGGGGCCCCTGGGGCCCCGGGGGCCCC